CGGGTAATGCCAAATTCATGTTTCCCTTAGGCTATCCGGATACTGTTGCGCTGCATTGACTCTCACGCTTTGTGTTATGGTCGTTACATCGAGCCACTTTTGTCAATTAGTGTCGACTTTTACATCAGGGTTTTCGTTTTGCTGCACTATAGTCCGTTCATGGCCAAAGAATCATGTCGGTAAGGTCCTTGTCATTTCAGTGCTGCACCATAGTCTGTTTCATTCTACTTTTCAGAATCGAATTTGGTTGTGTACTGAACGGTGAGAGATTTAGAGGTTTTGAGCAGAAATTGATTAATTAAGTTCGATTTCATGGTCCAAGGCACCAAACACAGTATATGGTAAAACCTGGTTTGCCAACGCGTTTCGTACATAGATCGTAGCATCAGGTTTCTTGATTTTACTCTACGGTATTTGGTGCTCTGAACTATAAACTCTTCAGCCGCCTCTCTGTGTAACTGCGGGCCCAAAATCAAAAACCTTAAGCCTTATTCAAGTTCAACTTCCTCTTCGTATGATATATCACACTTTATCTATACAGATGTAATGAATTTTCTGGTTGTCTTTCCATTCTATCTAAAGAATAATTCTTAAAGTCTATAGAAACTTTTGCTGAAGTGCTTAAATCCGGTAGAATATTGTGTAAAGTTGCCATATATGTTTGCAGTTGTGGAGGTACCGGGTAGCATTCACAAATTATTTTTCTTGAAAAAACCTGCTGTCTGACAAAGTTATTAGTTAATTAAACTTATAAAATATGTTCAGACTTTTTTGATATGTAGGTTAAACATTTTGCACTCTGTGTTATTTGTGGTTATGGACTTGTGCATTGCAAATTTTATTTCAGTAAAAGTGGCATGGTCTACCAGTGCACAGGCTGTGAAAGTTTGGTGATTCAGCCGATGGCACGCAGAGTAAAAACGAAGAAGGGGGGAATGAAATACGTTCCAGCGATGTCTTTCAGTGGTTCACATGAATGTGAGATATGCGGCTTTAAGAATCATGTAAATATGCGTTTCTTTAGTCTAGACTTGTTTCATGTTTTAGCATAGCTTTGTTGCAGAAGTGTAAATCAATGAATATTTGCAGCTGAAATTGGAGCCTTTTATTTGCTCCTATGTCTCGGGCTGCTCAGTCGTTGACAGATCCCGCGTTCGAATTCCAGTAGCTTTATTCATGTTTCAGCCTCCCAGGTTGATAAATGAATACTTCTACACAGAAAACAATGAAGAAATGTAATGTATTCTACGATGGTTAACTAACTACAAGGATTGCCTTTTGACACATTGCTTTTGACTGATGGCACAGAAACGATGTGCTATAAGCCTCATGAAAGAAAAATTTCATGCCTGGCTCTCAGTCATGTAAGTGTAAGCAGTACCGCTTTTAGAGTATCCTTTTATGAGTTGTAGAGATACGCCACTTTGCGAGTGCAGGCTTACTGCTAGTATATCTTTTCATGTTTGCTGTTTGCTTTCAGGACTACGACCTAAATTTCTGATGTCCAATATGGAAAGTTGATGACTCTGCGTTATTAGAACATGAGATATTTTCCTCAGGAAGTCGATAAGCCCCGGAAGAAACTTGACGCAGATAGCATTTTCTGGTCGCTAATAGTGATACCAGTGATGCAAGCACATACACCCTTGTTGCGAGGTTTTCAAGTGATGCCTGTCGTTTTTCAGTTTGATCTCTCTCTCAGAGTTACAGAAAAGAATTGGAATGAGAGGTTGTCATGATTATTATTCAGAATGACGTTCTGTTTTCGCTTTTTCAAAATCCTGGGGCTACTGTATCAGTCCACTTTTTCAGTTAATCTCTGTTTTTAAGATGGCATAAGTTGAGTATCTATTAGTCAAAATCTGGATTCCAACTATATGACTTGCCCCTCACATGCCTGCAGAGTTTTTGCTACGAATTGTTATTTCTACGATGCTTTGTTTCTGATCATTTGAATTTGTGTTGTTGCTAAAAATTAATCGCTAGCAACAAATATTTTGACCGAAATATTTGTTAAGAAACGTATCCTATCATCATGCGTGAAAGCTGTATTTCTTTTAAGGTTGGAGGTCCCATTTGGACGGATCCGATTCATGATTTAACCTTTGTAAAAAAGATGGTGTCTACGTTGGAAGAATTTGAGCAAGCAGGTTATAACCTTGGTACAAAAAAGCGGATCGTCGGACTGTTAAACGTGATTATGGAGGTATAACCCGTTCAGCTGCTTGAATTGAAAAGTTTCTTGTTAGTTGTAGCACATTTTTTCAGGAGCTTCATGATGTTCCTCTGTACTATTCTCTTAGTCGGATGGCAAGCATCATTCATTGCAAAACGCCTCCACAACTTGTTTTAAGGTATTCGCTTCCATTTTTGTGAAACAGTGATGTTAGTGAGCTTAATCCAGTGCATTTACGCTGCATTGTTTCTGTGCCTCCTAGGCTATGTTGGTGTAGAGAACTATTTACTCAGATAACAGTTCCACGATATGGTCTTGCCTAGCTTCTTATGTAATGTCTGCATTTATAATTTTTATCAATAGATCCTTACGCATCTGTTGTCGTATTTTGCATTATATGCGTTTAAATGCTAATGGCAGATGAGGTAGCAGTATCACAAGTTAGACATGCTTTACAATGGAAAACATTGCAGAGCGATGATCCCAACAATTACCGTTACCATTGAACTCTTCTTTGCAATATGCTCTGACAGCAGTGAAAGGGCGGATAAACTCTGCCCCGTTGAAAATGGCTGGCACATCGGTCAGCTGTTCGACTAAGTGGTTCGTGTAACATGGAAGTGCGCCTGTGCTAGCCGAGCAGATTCCCGGTCATTGAGCATGTTCAGTTCGCCAGTTGGTGGACTGCGCAACGATTTGTAACTATACTACCACTGTACTTCTTCCGAGTACTCTTTTGGAATTTCTGTTCATGAACTGAAGCTTACGGGTCCGGCGCGATTATGCGATTCCTGATTTTCTTCATCGGCAATGAATCTGTATGAACTTCAATACGCATGCTCTGATTTGAGTTATACAGAAAGACTCGGTGTTTAACGAATCCGTGAGAATGTTTCTTTACGACAAACTAAGATTTCTGCTGAATGACTGTTGTACGTGAAGAAAAACTTTGGTTCAGACCTGAAAAAGCTCGTTAAATGCCGTGTTTCACTAAGGGGGACAACGTTAAAATGTTACTGTATGCTATTATATGAATTACCGTTTTTTCAATATGATGTATAGTTTGTCTTAGATCTGCGATTTTGAATTCTGGATTTCGAGTGTCAGTTTCCCATGCGTACGCTAATTCGGTCAAAACTGATATGCCGAACGCTGAACTTTGGGATGTTTTCCGTTGTTGGGCGAATAAAGAATCTGCTAACTCTAAACATTTGCCCGAATCTTCGCCTGGTCACGTGATTATGAGTCGAGAAGTTAAGTGAGTCGCTTTTCTTTTCCCTGCAAATTTTGCAGTCTGTACGATTTAACAGTCTCGTAATTAGTTGATACCTCGCAATTTTTTGGTGTTTCAGCATTAAGTAATTTCTGTCATTGCCGTTTCCGTATCTGGCACTGGTTGTTTTTATAGTTACCTTACTTTCTAGTTGGATTATATTATAATTCCAACCTCCGTGTAAGTTGCTGACATGAAGCCATCGATTTCTGGGGCTGTAATCATCGCCGTAATCAGTTATTTAAATTTTCAGACCAATTTATCGAATTTCCCTTTAAACATAATCAGTCGAACCATTTACTTTACAAAACGTATATTTTCTCCTTGAAATCGTAGGCTGTTGAAATTTTCTTGCTGCATTCTTTGAAATTAAGCGCTGTTGTCTAAGCTAGATCAGGAGGATTGTTTTGTTATTTTGGATTTTCCGTTTCTGTCTAACAGCATATGCACCACTACTTTCTGCCCGTAATTTTTTCCGTATTCTCAGATTTCAATCATTCTATGTTTTTTAATCACCCCTCCTTTGTGCTGCTGTTTTAGATAGTTTTGACTATGTTTTGATTTTTTAATTCTTTGTTTGCATTTAGACTCCAGGCAGATTTTAAAACTCATCCAGACGCTCTAACCAAGAGTAAAGCCGAAGGGTTATTACGATTCCAGGTGAATCCAAAGTTTTGGGGACCAATGTCGAAGGC